ACTACTATTACATTTTAAATAGGGTAACTTGTAATCTGTAACCTATTACATTTCCAAAGGAAACTTCCCAACACTGAGGGCTGCCAACTCTCACGCATTCAGCACGAGACAGTCAGAATTCACTCAATGCTAAACGCCACACGTAGACATGATGTAAATAAGATATTATATGTGCAGTTTAGAGAGCTTCATTGATTATAACGGAACATTGTGAGATTGCGATAAATTGAAGTGAGTGACAGATTTTTTGTGATTATATGGAAGCACTATTCACTTGCTTTCTAGGCTATAATCAATTCAGAATTTTAATAAAAGTTCTGTTTCACGTGCTTCTAACTAGACCAAAGGCCAAATACCCTGTACATGCAGCAAAGTTTCAGGAGTGACATATATCCCGCATCCCTCATATAAATGTGGGATTCGCTTTCGAAATAGCTTGTTTGCAATCAGAGTTAGTTCAGGTAAGCAATTGCTTAGCCTATATCCACTGCCTCGATGGCAGGCAAGTATTTCAATTTAGTTGAAAAATTGCTCCTCTTCATAACATAAGGATCACGTCCAACATATTTTTGTGCTTTTCTGTTTATACCTTTCTCTTATAATAGCGTCTAAACCAGGGCCGTAGCCAGGGTTTTAAAATGACCGAGGTCCCAAACCCCCCACCCCAAAAAAAAAAAAAAAAAAATCACGAAACTGCTGTCAAATTACAATAAGAATTCCGAATATTCATCTAATTTAAAATAAAAATCCACATTGAGATGCAAAACCTGTATTCAAATTCACTGCACCCTCCTGTAGCCACAGGAGACAAAAGCTTCCCCCCCTAAACTGAAATTATGTCTTTTAAATTTGAAATATAACCTGAATACTATTAATAATATTTAAGGGAAAAAAAAATGTATTTAGTTTTTCAGCCATTTTGACAGCCCTAATATTTGAATTTTAGCTTTGAAAGCATAAGATCCCACCCTGCCTGCAAATCACTCTCCAAAGCTACGCCTCCTCCATAACGCATGAACGCTCACAGCAAAAAGCTTTTTCCCCCTAATTATGACTTTTAAATTTGAATATAACTAGAATATTATTAATAATATTTAAGAATACAATTTAGTTTTTCAGCCATTTTGATAGCCTTCATTTTTACATTTTAAGAGGAAATAATTGAAGGCCAAACATTTGGATAACAATTTAAAACAGTCAGTAGGCAGTATATTATTTGTCAATACCAGCTCTCTGCTTTGATTGATATTATTTTAATTTTCACCTTTGTCAGTGAACAGAGTAAACACATGGTAGACTGATATGTTTTATTAATCATTTTATTAAGTTACTTTATTGAAGGCTACCAGGAAAGCTATGTAATTATGTTTAATAAATTCACAGTATGTGCCCATTCATTATTTTATGCACCAAGAGCTTGTAACACTCCAAAGAGAAAGGAAAAATTGAAATCGCATCATATGACCCCTTTAATATATAATGAAAATGGCTTCGTTATTATTGTTTCGTGTCCCCTCACATTGACAATTAAGAATCACATTACATAAATAATGTCAATTGAAAATGGTGAATTTAGACAAGTTTGCATTCCTGATTATTTTTGTCAGTCATTTAACCACAGCCATATCACCCTGCAGCCCAAGACTGGTTGCCCACTGAAGCTAAGCAGGGTTGAGCCTGGTCAGTATCTGGATGGGAGACCTCCTGGGAAAACTAGGTTGCTGTTGGAAGAGGTGTTAGTGAGGCCAGCAGGGGGTGCTCACCATGTGGTCTGTGTGGGTCCCAGTATAGTGACGGGGACACTATAGTGTCAAAAAGCACCGGCTTTCGGATGAGACGTTAAACCGAGGTCCTGACTCACTCTGTGGTCATTAAAAATCCCTTGGCACTTCTCGTAAAGAGTAGGGGTGTAACCCCGGTGTCCTGGCCAAATTGCTGCCCTGGCCTTTGTCAATCATGACCTCCTAATAATCCCCAACCACTTGATTGGCTCTATGACTCTCTATTCTCTACACCTGTAGCTGGTGTGTGGTGAGCGCACTGGCGCCGTTGTCCTGTGGCTGCCGTCGCATCATCCAAGTGGATGCTGCACACTGGTGGTGGTTGAGGAGAGACCCCCCCACATAATTGTAAAGCGCTTTGGTTGTACAGAAATACACAATAAAGCACTATATAAATGCATCATTCATCATTAACATTTCAATCGTAAAACACCTGTCAGATATGAAATGTTTATCCGGCACTTTATAGCCGCTAACTGAAGCGTTGCTTTGAATATGCAGCTTATGTGAACATAAAGCCCGCCTACTTTGATTTGATTGGTCATCTGAAATATTTTTTGACATTGACGAGCAGTGACAAGGAAAAAAATCTGAGGTCTGGACCTCGGTGACCTCATAGCTGACTAAGGTCTTGGTCTACCAGTACAGTATGGACTTTACTCCATCTCATCCATTCAGCTTTTCACTTCCTGCCCACCATCTGAATTTCTCGCGTCATCAGAATCACGTGATTTCAAACAAGCTATTAGAGATTTAAATTATTGGTCCTAAAACAGGCCTTTTTTATTTATTTATTTATTATTTTGTGCTGAAATATGTGAGATATAAAGTGGAAGTTTTTTTTTGTTTTGTTTTTTTTTAAGGTGGGAGGATATTGTTAAAAATAAGTTGGCCTTTAATAGGCAACAAATAAACAAAAACAGGATCTCACAGTACTCTTCACCCCAGCCTTCAAAACCATCTGCTGTGAAAGAAAATTATTTGTTCTTGCTCCCTGCAGTGCCACAAATTACAGAGTTATATATACAGTGGTCGTTTGCTTTAAATTAAGTCCTTAGTGAGTTTTCAGAGAAATTCAGACCTTTTTTAAGGTCAGTTATGTTTAAGTGTGCTTGATTCTTGTTTCCCCATGTGAATCTGAATTCCTTCTCAAATAAAAAAAAATAATAATAACAGATGAAGAGTATATCTTTGATAATGTGAGTATGGCTTTTTTTTCTTTTTTTCCTGCAGGAGGACTACTATGACCCTGACTCACTTGTCCAGGGAAATTTTCCTTAAAAATAGATCAGATTTGCTTCAAACCATCAGAGCAACCAAGCCATTTCATGTGTGTGTGTGTTACATCTCTATTTTATTTGTTTCTAAATATTTCTAAACTTTTTTTTTCTTTGTGTATTCAAATTCCAAACTTACTTACAAATAAACAAATTCTGTTTCTAATTTTCCTTCCCAAAATCAACAATGTTCAGGGTTTATATGTTGCCATAATAAAAGTAATTCTGAAGAAGTGTTGTCATAATTAATAAAGAAGGTTCACTCTAAAAGTGCTGATTGACCATTAGTGAGGATACCTGTTGTTAACAAGCAGAGTCACCGAAGAGACAACAATAAAAGAAAAAGAGAATCAGACACACAGTGATTACACACAGCTTTAGATAATTGCAAATGTGAGGATGGTTGAAACAACTCTAAAACAGTATTGCCATGCTCACTTTTAATAAGTAAGTTTGGGATTATTTTTTCATACTTTTTTTTTTTCATTGTTATAAGTTGTTACACTTAATTATAATGAGAGATAGATTTCCCCTGCAGTAATAATGGCCGCATAAAGGTCATCAGTACTCTTCTGCTCTCTGGAAGATTTAATTCCTTTGTTCAAATAATGGCTCACAGCTCTGTGTGCACATTTCACCCCCGAACAGTTTATTCTCTAAGCATTTATAAAACCAACAGGCAAGTAGTTATTGTCTGCAGTTTACCTGAGTTTATGAATTATGTTGTGATTGATGATAAAAGTATCAAAGTCTCAACTCAAAATTTATTTTGTTTTAGTTGGCAAGGCCAGCTGTTAGCGGGGCAGTGTTATTAAAAGTAGTATGTTAGCAAAACTTCAAATTCCACATTCATCCAAGAAGTTCAATCAGCATGTACAAAGGCTTAGTGATAAGCTGACGTAATTGTTGAAATGACAGACTGACAAAACCTTTGTGTAAACATCCTATAATATTGCAAACAAGAATATAGTCAGTGCAAGTAGGCTATCAAATGCCTAGGGAAGTAGGCTACCAAATGCGAACTAGCGATCTGAAACAATGGGTCAGTGCAAGTAGGCTATCAAATGCCTAGGGAAGTAGCTACCAAAACGCGAACTAGCGATCTGAAACAATGGCCTCAGCACCTGAAGGGGTAGGGATAAGGTGACCAGACGTCCCGTTTTCCCCGGGAGTCACAATTCGTTGCCGATTAACTTAAAGTTAGTGAAGGAGGGATAGGCGGAATCGCGCTGATCAAAAATGCCTGTCAAAATTAACACTGTCTTGAATGGGCTACAAGACCATCAGCAAGAAGCTTGAGGAGAAGGAGCCAACTGTTGGTGCGATTATTCGGAAATGGAAGAAATACAAAACAACCATCAATCGGCCATTGTCTGGAGCTCTGTGCAAGATCTTGCCTCATGGGGTAAGGATGATCATGAGAAAAGTGAGGGATCAGCCCTGAACTACATGGGAGGAGCTTGTTAATGATCTTAAGGCAGTTGGGACCACAGTCACCAAGCAAAACATTGGTAACACACTACGCCGCAATGGACTGAAATCCTGCAGCGCCCGCAAGGTCCCCTTGCTCAAGAAGGCACATGTACAGGCCCATTTAAAGTTTGCTAAAGAACATCTAAATGATTCAGAGAAGGCTTGGGAGAAAGTACTGAGGTCAGATGAGACCAAAATTGAGCTCTTTGGCATTAACTCGACTTGCCGTGTTTGGAGGGAGAGCAATGACCCCAAAAACACCATCCCTACAGTCAAGCACGGAGGTGGAAACATTATGCTTTGGGGCTGTTTTTCTGCTAAGGGTACAGGATGACTTCACCACATTGAGGAGCAAATGGACGGGGCCATGTACTGTAAAATCCTGGACGAGAACCTCAGC